TGAGACTGCAGGTCAGCGTCATCAGTCTAGTTAAAGCTTCATTAGCAATGGGTGACTATGAAAACTTTACAGAGTAATTTATGAGGTACACAAGGAAATTAATTTCGTGTGGCTCAGCAGCACAAGTGCAACACGAAATCCAACACAAAAATAAATTGCTGTGTGTGTGGGGGGGACAGGTTTGCATTTTATAATGATACAGCGGGTTAGTAGTGGTATGCATTTTACAGGGGCAGGTTCGAATCTAAAAAAACTGTTTTATTAACTGTCAATTGCACTGAGGAAAGACTTCATCCCTCACCCGTACGTATGCACAAAAAGCCAAGGGGTTGGTAGCAAGTTACTGACTTGCTAAAACAGCATGAACAGCAGTGCTTTAGTGCTGTCATGTCAGAGCGTGTGAAAAATATGGTCAGACGGTGTGATATGTGCACATCTTATAGCTGCCTTTACAACTGACTCCCCTAATAGCTTTCAAAAAGTCATCATTATGTGAAAGAATAAACTTCAATTTAAAATTTAATTAAAACAGGAACGTACCTTTGGTTGGTGGTTCGTCTCTAAGACGGGTTTGTGTTCTTCCTGTTCTGAGGCTTCAGACAGTCTTGCAATTCCTGCTTCAGATTCGTCCGTCATTAGACTCGAACCGATATCTTCGATCTTAACAACAGGGCCGCCATCTTGAAAATCACTGCCCGACAGGATGCTATCTCCATCACCTTGGCTTAGCATCATTTTTCTCGCTGATTCCTCGCTGTCCAGGAACAGCTTAATGCGAATATACGGCTCTCGGCCTTTCTGAGTCATCGAGTGCCACCGTTTCGGCTTCGTCAGTAGGTCGCTGGTGGTGCTCTGCGTCAGACCTAAGACTGAGCTACCAAACGCCCTCTGGCTGATGGAGTACTGACACAAGTAGTTCTTCAATCTGTCTACCAGGTCGGCAGTGTTCAGGTAGTTGTATCGATCGATCTGTTCCTGTTTCAATGGAGGGAGGACTTGCCCAGTCGTGACCGGTATTACGTTACTGACTTCCGCCGCCGCTTCTGTTGACCTTAAGCTATCGAAATGACAATTTCCCGCATGATATGTTTCTGCACTGTCATGATGCTTATTCTGTTGTTTAACAACCTGCAGGTCGATTGAAGGAGCCTCACAGGACGCGTCCAATGACGTACGTGATCCTGTGGATCCAGCCGTTAACACAGTGTGATTTTCCGTGTTAGAGTCATCGTCCGTATCGCCAGTACCGGAGGACATCGAAAGACCAGCCGATGTTCGCAAATTGTACTCTACCGTCTTCTTCCTCTTACAATTGGTCCTCTTGTCAGGAAACCGTGACTCACGCGTGCAACGTGAATCTTGGGCCGAAACAACGGGCACTGAACCCCCCGTGCATGCTCTGAGACTTCTGCGCTTTCTTGTCCACGGTTTCATCGCATTTGTCAGTTCATTTTCGTATATCCTTCGAATCCTATCTGCCGAAATGTCATCATGTCTCTGGCCTGACTTTTGACCAACTGTTGAATTCTTGCTGGTTTTAGTTACGGACACTGCATCCTCCTTCGGGACAGGAAGTGTGCAGTCTTTCTGCGTCCTTGTTTTCTTAACCTTTGCTTGTTTACTGATCGTTCGCAGGAACTTGTTCATTGTCTGTTCAAAATCAGACGCGAACATCTGCTTTGTTGGTGGATCATCTGAAATTACAGGGAATAAACCATATAACCAACCTCATCCAAGCAACCGACAAACAAAAGCACTCTGTGCATAGTCAGAGTGTAGGTGTGGGGAGTCTTCCGAATAAGATTCAAGCGGAACAAGGCACTGGTTTGAACTCAAATTTCATAACTTACTGAACTAAATAGGCTTAAACGTATATGTTTAATATACAGATAAAATAAATTATAACGGACCGAGAAGAGTGCGCAACCACTTTTCAATCCAAAGCAAGATCTGTAACGATCCTGCATCTCACGGCGGTTAACCACCAGCAGCAAAGGCCAAGTTTGTCCAATTATCCTCCCCCCCCTCAGTTGGGACGACGAGTCTTATTGGAACAGGGTTCGTGATGTTCGTAGAGTCAGTCTATCTCTGAAACAATTCAACTCTACAACGGAGAATCGACTATGCTGAATCAAATTCAACAGAAGAATAAAAATGGTATGGAGCACATTTCGAAAACTCAAAATATTTCTATCCAGAAAACTGCCCTTGTACTTAAAACGCAAAGTTTCGATCATGGTGTGTAGAGGGTCGAAACGTGGAGCCCCAGCCTGCAAGCTACTCATAAACTGCGGACTACGCAACGCAGAAAAAATGTACGCTAGGAATATGAGGCAAAGACTGAAAAGCGAATGAATTGATAAGAGCACAAGCAACAGCTTGCGATGCCATTGCTCAATTAAAGAAGTTGAAGAAGCAATAGGGCAGGATCCGTCGCAGGCAAAATCACCAATCATCGCTGGAATAGAAAGACATTAGACTCGGTTCCAACAAAGTGTAAACGGCCTGTACGAAAACGCACAAATCGATGGCAGGATGAGCCGAAGTTCGCTGGATCACGATGGATAAAAAAATTTGACAACGTTTTGGAGAGGTCTTCATCCAGAGGTAAATCGACAAAGACTGCTGCTGATTATGGTGTCAATTTCTCAAAAACAATTCTCTCCGGCAGAAATAAATCATCTCCGATAAATTCAACGAATATATGAGCTCGCTTAATTTCACAGTGACAACTGGAATGCGATCGGTACAGATATTCTCTTAAAGATAATTAGCATAAAGGATCCTGCTATTCAAATGTATGAATCGCTGCTGTTTTAACATGGTGCAATTTCGTTTGTACATTTTTCGCCAATTATGAAGTCGGTGCGAGGAGTCGAAACGTGATGACAAATAAAGCAAGTTATTATGATCCTAGCAGCTAGTAGCCTTAAACAGTGGATCAACAAACGAAACGGCATAATCCACTACAAACAGGCTCCTAGAAACATAAATCAATAAATAAATAGCGCAAAGCTGGGAACATCATTATATTAAAGGTGGCGGGAAACGAAACGGTGTTCTTTTTCAACGCAAATAATAGAGATATAGTATAAATGGCTTAGCATTTCAACTAAATACCATGTATTAATTACACTATTCGCAATATACGGTATCAAGATGCAAAATGTACGAATTCGAAGCTATGGATGCTGCGAAACCCTTTTACAGACTATAACAAAGGTGAGCTAGCGAGACAGCACTAACATGAAGTTGACGCATTCTATCATCTCACAAGCCAAGTCTGTGTTAGAGAAGGGTAACTGGTCTACCAACTTCGAAGTATTGGTTAAAAAACAATTAAGTACAGCGGTCGAATTTATTAGTGAAGAGAAAGTAGCCTTTGCATAGATGGAAGCTGGACTGCGTCCCTTTTTTTCGTGCAGACAGTTCTACGTTTCACGCTTTAATGGAGTTTTAGGCACTTGACTCTCAAGACTGCATTCTACCGTGCTATGTAGCATCGCACTGGTTCTAAATGTATACGAACATTGGGAACAAGCCATAGTTTCAAAGAATATGCATTTCGCATCAATTTAGTTGGTGTTTCAGGATATGATAGTACACAGACATTTTCAGTTGCCTCAGAAACCTAGTTTATCATAACAACGTATTGAGTGCCTCAGCCAATAACCAGAGATGTATGTATCACTGAGATTCTCGCTTACTATAGAAACATGACCTACTTGTCCCTCTATGTATGTTTGTCTGTATGTCCCTCTGTGACATTATGCCATAGTGCGTAGGAGGTAAGCTTCGAACTTCGGAGGTGTCAAGTTTGATTTCAGCGAAGCGCAATCTTTGTTTTAACCAAAAATTCGCTTGAGCAAATAATTTACCACACGTCATTTCAGACAGGCGTTGCTCAGCCAGTACAGTAACAGACTTAGAACTAAAAGGTCCCGAGTTTGAGTCCTATTTTGAGTCAACTGCCTTTCTTCCTTCTAAAGTTGATAAACGAGTATCACACTACTGGAAGCAAATAGATGACTACAAACTATGCTTGCTGCCACATGGCTGTTGTCGACCATGCTTTTAAAAAGTAAGGTACTCCTGGCTTATGGTATGGAAATGGAGATCAGCTTCCCACTACTAAGTGCTGGAAAAGAAGGGCGCCAGAATGACCTCATCATGCAAGTGTAAGGAATGTATATTCTGGCGTCACAAATTTTTCCTTGCCCTTCTTTGAGTTGAAAGGGAAAATGTTAACAGATTTTTCATTTTTCCTAAATGCTCCTCTAAGCATACACCGGCGAAGAGGGTACGTAATATGACATGAATTTTGGGTTTGGATGAGCTACGCGTTTATTAATATCCAGGCTTACAAATCCTTATTTTTGATGGTTTTCTTGTACTATGCAGTAAACAGTTCAGTTCCTTGATGACTCTGTCTTTCGAATTATGGCGGTCAGATCAGCTACAGAAGAAATGTACAACAAAACCCCTGAGAATATATGGAACGAATACTGGGGAAAGGACTTCGAAGCGTGACGGTGCATACATAATTAATTTAATTGCTATCCATGAATGCTCAATGTGGTAAACTCTAAAAAAGGCCACACCAAACTGTAATACCCTTGAAACAGCTGTAGACACAGAATACAAGACTATAGATGAGGTATGTTTATACCGTCAATGTTTCTGCCAAAAGATTCTGAACAGCCTTGTTTGCTCTAACAATTACCAATGCAGTTTGGCTGAAATACTGACAAAAACTGACATACTAACATTCGACATGTACGCCTTATACGTTGTATTGACTTAAGTTTTGTATGTTGTTCATGTAACCATTGAAACGCCTACGCATACACTGAAAAAGATACAAAATCAAAATGAGTTTTCTAAATCAACACTTACAACTACTATAAACTTATAAGTAACAGTATAACCTAGATCATATACAAATAGTACTTTAACTCTTACCGCGAACCTCCGGCAAATCAGTGATCGGCTGAAAATCGCTCGGGTATGATGTAGAGGCTACAGATTGGTGTGCTCGAAGCCTGGGGTCACGTGGTAAAGCCTGGGGTAGAGGTGTAATCTTGGCTTGAGCATCAGTTGGAGCCGAAATTGTCACAAAATCTTCTTTGCCTAAAACAAAACCTAACGTCAGAGTGAGAAAATCAACTGCAATGTCCAAAATTCATAAAAGTTTACAGGAATATGACGGCGCTAAGCTGCACTTAATTATTTTACATTGTACAACTTATGGGCACAATAGATGAGGAGGAGAGCCACTCGAAGAATTCGAAGACCAAAAGAAGGAAAGGAAAAATAAAAGCAAAAAAGAAAGTATATGAAAAATATGAGAAAATGATAAGGTAAAAATGCACATAAGAATGAAAAAGAAAGCAAAAGAAGGCATGAACAAAGAGAAAAAGCAGAAGAAATTGATAAAGAATGAGTAAAGCGGAAAAACTTTAACAAAAAAGCAACAAGATAAGAAATGGAGATGGTGTAGTACACTAAATTAAGAAAACAAAAAACGAAAAGGAAATAAATTTATTTCACCAAGTTTGGAACAAGTCATTTTTGCTCAGAAGAGGGAATTCTTTATTTTCTTATTTTTTTTCTTCTGCTCGTCTTTCACTGCGTCGAAAACGAGACATGTGCCCTACAAAATTTCCACCTTGATCGAACAAATGCGCGTTCGCTATTCAGTCCCTCTGATGGCATATCCGTTGTAACTAGATCTTCCTATGTTGCTGGTGATATTTCTGAAGGCGTCTGCCATCCAGGAATACGCGCTCAGAACTCGCTTCACAAGGTGGCTATCATCCACTCGTTGGTAATGATCTTACCATCCTAAAGGCCTTGTCTGCAGTCAGTCGGTTACTTTAGTTGGATATTCTAATTTTTCTCTTACAACAACAAATCGACCCTTTCATTCTTGAATCTACACAAAAAATATTCATTTCCATCGCATACAGTTCTCTGTTTTCAGGTTTAAGTGCCGCATCTTCAACTCAGAATATCCTTGTCTACAACAAAAGCTGTACATCTGCAGCGTGGTACTGCTAACATCTCTGTTGTTACAGAGCTTGAATAACTTGTTGTCCAATGCAAATATAAACACAATGCCTCCTAACTTCGGTTGTCACTTGTCACGTTCGTCCGTCTGCAAC